ATCCCAGGAACCCGAGGATGAGCTGGATCGCACGCCCTTGCAGGTCCGAGAGGCACAACAACTCGGAGGAGAACTTATGTGGCTGGCAACGAAGACGAGGCCGGACATTGCCTACACGGTCAGCCGAATCTGCTCAGCGACGAGCCGGGCCCCAAAATGGGCGATCCAAACCGCATACCAGCTGATCAGGCACTTGAATGCCACGCAGGGCCTGGGCTTGTGGTACAGGAGAGACGCCAACTTCATCCTGGAGTCAGTGAGTGATGCCTCGTTCGCTCCAGGAGGTGCTCATAGCCATGGCTGCGTGATCACAACGGTGGCCGGAGCACCGGTGGCATGGAAGAGCTGCAAGCAGCCGTTCCCCGCCCTTTCAACCGCGGAGGCAGAGCTCATAGAGGTCATCGAAGCTGTGGTCGTGGGAGACAGCATCGCATGTCTGGTTGATGAGATGGCAAAGGACGTCCCGAAGTTCCTCAAGTGCGACAACACAGCTGCAGTTTCAATAGCAAGTTGTGCAACTGGAGCGTGGCGTACAAGACACTTGAAGGTCCGGGCCGCCCACCTCAAATGGAGGATCCAGTCTGGTCAATGGGCCCTGAAGTACCAGCCTGGAAGAGAGCTCATCGCGGACATCGGCACCAAGTCTTTGCCAGTGGCCCGGGTCAACGAGCTGAGGCAACGGATGGGAATGTCATGGCAGCCCGACTCAGTGGACGAAGTACATGAGGAGGACAAGGGCATTGTCGCACCGAGGGCTATGAAGTTGGTCGCGAAGTACCACTTGGAGAAGGCCACGAGGCTTGTTGTGGTGCTGTCGGCATTGAAAGAGGTGCATGGAGCCATGGCGGAGAATGTCACCAAGAATGCCGATGAGAATGTCGAGGGTGACCAGATCTTGTACCTCCTCAGCGTCATGATGATGTTGCTGGGAATGGTGCTCATGAAGGTTGTCCGAAGATGTCGCATGCATTGGGACCGGGTGGAGAACGAACCGGCGACGCGTAGAGTGAGGGTCTCTCGCTTGGCTGGACAGTCTTCTTCCGGGACAAGGACTTCTACCAGAACTCACGGAGGAGGAGATCGAGAGCCACGTCAAGGTGATGGTGAGTGGCAGCCTTTGAACCCTGGGGGGCAGAGTGCTTCATCCTCATCACCGAGAAGTACCAGAATGAGTGGAGGCGATGGACAAGGACATCAAGGGAGCGCAGATCCTACCCTGGATGAGCCACAAGAGGAACCGCCCAATCAAGCTGACCTACCCGGAGGGCATCATCTACAGATCACCCTGACCGGGAGGAGGAGACGGTTCCCCAATGAGCCAACGTGGAAGATCTGGTTCGCCGAGTCCAGCAAGTGCTTCCATAGACAGAGAAGCTGCAGGGGATTGAGGAAAGCCAACCGAGTCCACGAGCAGCTGGTGTGTGGGGCTTGCCAGAGGGCCACGAGAGGTCAGAGAAGTCTTCGAGAAGCGAACTTTGTCTATGAGGACCAGCTCGGCAACTTCCACACCGATGCGCGGTGTCATGCGGTGACAGGACCAATGGCAGAAATCCGCCAATGCAAGATATGCGGATTGTAAAGCGGTTTGAGCCTACGGCTCGCTTTTGGGAATGCTGGTCGACAGATGAAAAAACCTGCCGACCAGGGAGGAGTGCACGTCCAAAAGGATGAAACGCACAAAACGAGAAGTGTACACTCGACAGCCGCTTTTATGCTCGAAAATAGGAGCGTTGAACCTTGCACTCACAATTCATCTCTCACACATCTCATCCCTTAAACAGCAGGCGCGTGGCAGGCGCAGCACCAGGAAGAGCAGGTGCACGCTGTGTCGCCGCTGGGCCGCAGTGATTCCGCGTGATAGGTGCGGCACTTTGTGTATCCTCAATGGCTTTTGCATGGCAGGTGCCGCACTTACAAGGCAGAACGAGCAGGTGCAGCACAGGTCATCTCACACAACTCACCTCAGATCATGAGTAGCGTTCTTGTTCCTAGTAGTACGGCCAGGAGCCCCTAGTAGCGTCCTTGCTCCTAGTAGTAAGGCCAGGAGCCCCTAGTAGCTTCTTGTTACAGATCATGAGTTCGTCATTTCAACTGTTCCCACTTCTCCTCCCGCTGTCCTCCTCGCGCCTCTCCCGCTCGGCAATATCAACTCGCTCACTCACAACAACTCACTCACACCAACTTATTCACATTAACTCACTTGCGCCCACTCACTCACTCCCTCCTACTCTCTCACTCTCTCACTCTCTTCTCTCTCTCTCACTCTCTCTCTTCTCTCTCTCTTCTCTCTCTCTCTCTCTCTCTCTTCTCTCTCTCTCTCTTGCTCTTGTCCACAGTCATCAAAGGGAGTTTGGTGTGCAAAACTTCCGTGTTGCGGACTTTCAAATCATTAGCACTACTACTTAGTACCACTATCACTACTACTACTACTACTACTCCTACTGCTACTGCTACTGCTACTGCTACTACTACTACCACCACCACCACTGCTACTACCACCACCACTACTACTACCACCACCACCACTAGTACTACTAGTACTAGTAGTACTACTACTACTACCACTACCACTAACCACTACCACTACCACTACCACTATCAATACTACTACTACTACTACTTCTACTACTACGACTACTTCTACTTCTACTTCTACTTCCACTACTTCTACTACTTTTACTACTTCTACTACTTCTACTACTACTACTACTACTCCTCCTCCTCCTCTACTACTCAGCTTTAGCTCTGGTCAGCTCTTCAACATGCATTTTGGAAGGAAGTCTTGTACAAAATGCATGTTCGAGAGATAGCGGAGGCACGAAATGCAGCATTTTTTAATACAAAGGGTGGTTCCGAACCTGGCATGGCTAGCTCTGCGGAACGACAGTTGCGGAATGAACTCGCGTCATTCTCGGATCATGGTCGGATCATCGTCCCTCCATTGTAACTAGGGCTTTCACCTGTGTCTTATGTGCACTTCGACTGCGCAGGCTCACACAGTCTGGGTGCCCCGGGCGGGTGCTTCTAACGACTGCGTGCCGCGCGCATTTTCGCACATGGTGGTCACTTTTCGTGGCAGGCACAGGGGAAAGCTCGTGTTTTGGTGTTTCAATTTCGACTTTTCGTGACAGGTGCAAGGGGTCGGAGCTGTTTTACTTCGAAATGCAGTTTTCGCGGCAGGCGCAGCAGCTGCTGCCTGGCTGGCTCGCGGCTCTCTATCACCACCGTCAACAGGGCACACTCAGCGGTGATGCTGCTTCAATGGCGGCCCGCTTGAAGGTCTGGCTGGATACAGGACTGTCTTCCGAAATCAAGCCATCTGCTTCAGCTCTTTCGAAACGCCTCCTAACCAAGCACTGGACACGTAGGACAGACGACCCAACACTGGCAGCTCATGAGGCTGAGACCATGGCATGCCTGTCAAAAATGTCGACAACTGTAAGGAAATAGTTTTGGGGCCCTTTTGCAAAGTGAAACACACCCACGTCTTGCAAGTTTACAAGTGGCCCGAGTGTTAGATCTCATTTGTCATTTGCGCGCAATGACTCCAATGTGCATTGTTTCTTGCTTGCAAAGGCCAACGGGGACAATGCCACCATTTGGTCTTACCACGCAACAATCATGATGCGTGAAGCTAGTCACGAAACATGCGTGGTATGAAGCATGTTCATGGTTCAATGTCACGACAAGACTTGAAATCCACACGTTTTCTCCATTCGACATGCGCCACGCTACCCCTACATCATTTGTGCGCAAAATGTCCCACTGTGCACATTCGGCGTGGCGTGTCAACGGAAAGAAGATGCTTGCCTCTCCTGAGCAAGGCGTTCCCGACTTGTTGCATGATACCAGGCAGTTGCGGGAAGATGTTCGTAAACCAGCCGAGCACGATTTCCCACATGACACCAGCTTCAACCTTGCTAAGCCTGCCTGCTGCTGTAACTTGTTGGTTGCTGTGTGGGGCACCATCTTGAAAGCATCGTGCAAAATTTGTGTGGCATCCGCGCGCCGAAAGCTCGTAGGTTTGCTGGCAATCAGCCACGAGCTGGCTGAACTCCAGCCGCAATTGGCTGGTGGCCTCAAAGGCCACTGCTGAGACCAAAGCTGGCGCAAACTCCATGTCTTCCAAGAATGTACCCCTTGGATCCACGCGCGCAGTTGCCGAGAATCCTGTTCTGGTGGAGACGCGATTGTCCTGCAACTGTTTGAACAGTCATGCGCGCCAAGGTTTTTATGTCATGTCCATGGACCGACCTGTTTCAGCAGATGCGTGGTGGTTTCATGACATTCATTTGCAAGCATCATAGTTTTTTCTTCAAACCCACGGACAACAACAAACATAAATTATATACTCCAAAATCACACGCTTCACCTGCAAAACCACCACCTGCTTCACAAAGCAGGAGGAACCTGCTGCGAACATTTGCCCTGCAGCGACGCATCGGGATTTCATGACTTCCAACACCTACAAACACGTGCTTCCTAAACTTTGCAAGTGTGACATGTTCCGCTCATATGTTCGACACGTTTCACTTGGTACAGGAACAATGTTGAACGATGTTGAACGTATACGTGGCGCCAGCAAACTTATAAGTACGATATATATAATGATATATAACTAGATTCTAGATACTGGAGAGTACAATTAGTACAATTGCGTAAACGTGACGCGGTCCAGTGACTAAGTCTGCCAACACGCATGCACAACTTTTGATACGTATCTCTTTAACTAGCAAGGTTAAAACTGTATAGGATGATTCTCGAGCACACACACATGCATTTGAAATTCATACAGTTTTAATGTAGTAAGCGCGCGAACATGTACAGTAACTGTTTCGTTCTCATTTCCCATTTCTCGCCCGCTGTAGTTGGGCGCATAAGCATTTAGGAAGGTGAACCAAGAAAACAAGGACAGCCACATGCAGTATCAGTCATGCAATTCATTGTACCCACAGCCAACCCGCAGTGTTTTGTTTGTAGGAGACCCGGTATGCGACGAGGTACGTTTCAGAAACTACAAAGCAACCTGGTGAAAACAGATGAGCGATGCTTCAACTCAGCGTTGCTGGCCCTTCGAGCAAGTCCGTTGGCACCTAAGTCGGATGGCAGGTTTGCGCTAAGCAATCTCCAAAAACGCTGCATGCTGATGTTAATCTCCAAACTCGCCCAGGGTGTGGCTCCGAAGCGTTCACTTTCTGGAGGCCTGAAAGAACACGTTTCATTTTGCTCGGTTTGTGTTTGGTTTGCAGTTGCTCGAGTCCTTTCAGGAGATGATGCAGAGCCAAGTTGTACGTTCAGCTGTTGCAGAAAGCACTGTGATAAGCGGACTTCCTTGGAGATTATGTTTTGCTTGGCTTTTATCAGGCGTCTTGATGCATAAAAACGTTCACGTTGTAAAGAAGGTCCCTTTGGGAGGGTTCTTGTGCCGGAAAGCCTTTCAATTCAGAATTGAGAACGCGGTGTGGCTACAAGGGAGCTCAGAAAGCCACAGAAACCTTGTATTGTTAGAGTATTCTGTGCATTTAGGCCAAGTGATTGCTGACCGTATCACCTGGAATGCGGCGATCAGCCTGAGTGCAAAGTGCCTTGCTTGGCAAGCAGCCCTGCAGCTTTTTCAAGCAATGCATTGCTTTTCGCTGCAGCAGGACACATTGTTCAATTTGTGAGAAGCAACAAATTGCTGAACAGGGAAGAGGTGGGCAGGTTCTAACGGCATGGATACTCCAAGTGAGCAGAGGTTTTTTATCACGAAAGCCAGCCGGTAGGGCTGAAGTGAGTAAAGGGGGTGTGGGGGGGTGGTTGCGTGGTGGCCAATTCCGGAGAGGTGAACCCGGAGCCTGGTGGGGGAGGGGTGTTGTGGTGCCGGTGATGTAATTGACAGCGAGGAGTGCATCATCAGCATGACAAGGGGCTCAGGAGGCCATGGAAAGAGAACAGATTCAAGTTGCGGCTAAGCTGAGCGTTGCTGTCGGACTGAAGAGGGCACTCCCTATGCTGTGGGAGTTCACGTGAATTGGGGGGCTGTTGGTGGCAGGTGAGAGAAGAGATTGCAGCGGGCAAGCGTTGGAGGCGGAAGGTCCTGAATAGCTTAGGGGTGCCCTTTTTTATTCGTGGCAAGTTCCAGCTGCTGGACTGAAAAGGGAACCCCACACGGGGTGCATGATGCCATCCGTTGAGGGCCTGCAAGAGAACCGGACTGAAGAGGGCACTCCCTATGTGGCGGGGTTGGGGGCAGGAGAGAGAAGAGACTGCAGCGGGCAAGCGTTGGAGACGGAAGGTTCTGAATAGCTTAGGGGTGCCCTTCTTTATCCGTAGCATATCTCCTACCCTACCCATTGCCTCGCACATGAACCCCCACCGCCGTCTCTGCTCACTGTATGTCTTCTACTTTCCATTTCTACCCCCTATCAGTGTGGATGCGATGTCAACTTCGCCTCATGAAATTAATCCTTGCCCGATGTTACCCCATCACTTCCTCTTGCACGCCAAGCCTTTGCCCGGCCTACCCTGAGAGCACCCCCTAAGCCAGAGGCTGGCTTTCGCCCCCTCCCTTCTCAGGTGGGTTGACCTGCAAATGGTTGGGTGTAGGCATCCTGCTTGAGGGCGTAGGCTGGCGTAGGCATGTTTTTTAATGTTTTGTGTGGCAGCAGCCGCGTGGGCGACGCATTTCCCAGTCAAGAAGACTCACAAAGGATATTTCAAACGCTACCTGGATAGGAGCGGGCAAGATATTGGCAAAACCAACATGCAGTAGGCGTAAGCGTCGCGTGGGCGAAAAGTAGGGTAGGCGTAGGCGAAAACTGGCGCGGGAAGATTTTTGCGCCAGACATGGCTAAGTGAAGGTTTGGAACGCTTCTTCGTCCATATGGCCTGCCTTTGTCGTTAGTAGGCCTTTCGCCATGGCTAAGAAGAAACCCAACGCCTTGCAAAACAATAGACTAAAACAGCGCAAAGCTTCCAAAACTGTAGCCGCGCAGGCAAAACCATTCAGTGATAAACAAAAGTTCCACGCGCCTAGGCCGCGTAGGCAACCTATCCTAACTTCGACCTGCGTGTAGGCCAAAACTGTGAGCCCGTAGGCAGAAAGTAGGCTTGGTGTAGGCACCAGTGAAAGGATAGTACCAGTAAAGAAACACAAATCAAGCGCAACCAGTTCATAGGTCTCATGCAGAGTCCTGTCCCAATTGGTCGCAGGAGTCGGCCAGTTTTTTGTCCTTAGTGGCCCCTAAGACGCCGGCCTGGGCAGCAGCTTTGGCCACCACAGATGCTTTGCTAATTGCCGAAGACTCGCGCCACAAGGGGCGCCAGCTTCTTGCAGGAGCAATATCTGCAAAATTGTGGCCTGGCACGTCAGTGAGGAATTGGAGTCCTGAGCAAGACATTCGAAACAGGGAAGCAAACCTGTCGGAGTGTTTTCACATACATTCTTGTGCCCCCTAAGCACAAGCTGACTCTCTCCCTAGAGTGGCTTGTAGCAGCTTTCGGGTTCTGTCTTTGAAAAATGTTTGTGCTGCCGAAGCAAAGTGTCAAAGGGGACAATACAAGAGATACTGTAGATTCAGATAGATGCCATCTTTTGCAGTACATGGCAGTACCAGTACCATGTGTTCTCGAAGCATTCTTACATTCTCAACTGGCGGGCGGTGAAACAAGTCTACGGAACCAAACGGGTTTTCCAGCACCAAAGGCAGTGGCGTGCAGCAATAGAATTTCTGCGGAGTGTCCTGGCGTAAAAGCTGTTGTGAGCCTTGCTGGCAGGCGGGTCAATACCTAGAGCGTGAACATCATTAATGTTCACTGATACTATATTTCACCCAGTCGGTGGCCAAGCACCTCACGACAATACATCATGTGCGTACACCAAAATAAGTGGGGACATCGCGCTTTCTCACGGGGTAGATGTTTACCTGGAACATGTATGCCGCTGGACGGCTAATTGTTAACGCTTGTTGCACTTGCTACGAGCGCGTCAACCCGTAGCGACCGCTTCAACCATCAACTCAGGATATTCCAGGGTCGTTTCTCAGCAGAATTGTGGCACCGGTTCTCAGTTGCTTCCAAATGTTGTCCTTCATCCTCCCATGACACAAGCGAGTTTCTGAGTCTGTCAAAATGGACCACATCTCTTGGAGTTCCACTCTGTGCAATGCCTGGTGCCAAGCTCTGAGCCTCTCGCCACAAGTTTTTTTTGACACCTTGAATTGATGTAAGGCAGCTAGACTAGACTAGCTAGACTCTGCAGAGAGAGAGAGAGGAAAAAAGAAAAAGAGAGAGAGAGAGAGAGGGAGAGCGCTTGAATTGAATTGGTGTAGTGGGTGATAATGATGGTATGTACATGTATGTACCCTTGGTGTGCCCCGTATTGGGCTGCGACATCAGCCTAGGCGCTCTGAAAACCATGAAGTTGGTCAATCTACCCATTGACCAGGCCAGAAGCCGGGAACCATACATGGCGATCCAATGGGAGGGCACTGAAGGCTACCTAATGAAGATTGAAGATCTTGGCAATTCCGTCAGCATGCATTATTGGTCGAGGTAACTCGACGCAGTGTCGTGATTTCTTTGGAACGTGCCCTTTGCTGGCCTCATGCATTGATGCTCCAGCACGGCGCCTCGGCAAGCACCGCAGATCGTGCGCATGTGTGTGTGTGTCACACTCTGTTTCTAAGAGCTCTAAGAGTTCTTGATTTTTGCAAAGCAGCGGGCCATCCCCCTGCCCAGTGGCGGATGGCCAACGAAGAGGCCACTAAATTGGGGCTGCAAACGTACCTGCTGAACTGTTGCACACGCTGTTCTCCTTTCCGTTTGTTTCTCATAAGTATTCAGTAAAGTGCTAACGCGCCAACAATGTTCAACATTTCAGTTAAGCCGACTTTGCGCCTTTCCGTTCCGTGGACTATGGAAACTGCAAACCCTGTGACTAAGTGTGTATCGCTGTGTTTTCCCACTGGGTACACAGTGTGATCCTCTCGCAAGAGAGGCGCCGAAGCCATCGTGGGTCACAAATTGGCTCAGCGTCTTGAGTTCGTGGATTATGGTTTGGTTTGTTTTGTTTCATCCATGAGTCAACTGAACCATATGCCGCCGGGCTCACGGACTAAATGCCGCCGGGCTTAAGGAGAATGAACCCCCGCACAAGGAAATGGTATCCGACACACTTGTGTATCGGTGCCTTTCCTTCTGTTGCCCCTGTTCTGGTCTACTCTACCCGGGCGGTCTAAGACTAAAGTCCCGCTCCTTAACTATTGCACGTAATTAACGGCTGCTAAGTATTCAGTAACTAGACACACACATGGACACACACACACACACCCTCCCTGCCCCCCCCTCTTTTTCTCTCTTACGCTTTCTTCGTTTTCTAGGTTTTCTTTCAGGCTCGTTAGGTGGTTCTTGAGGCTCGTTTCCCTGCCCCTCGGGCTTTGTTTTGTTCTTTCTCTCTTGCCTGCTCGTTTCTCTTTCTAGGTTTGCCTTTCTGCTAGAGGCGTTTAGGTCTGTAATGAGGTTCTTCTCTTTCTTTTTCACAGCTAAGTAGTCAAGTGCAAGTAGTCACTTTTTCGCTCTATTTTTTCTAAGGCTTTTCAGGTACCTAGTCAGGTTCATTAAGGGCACACCGCAGCAGAGTGCAACCGTTGTGTTGAAAGGCAAAGCGATCCGTTTTGCTTCAAGCCGATAATCGGCGTTTTGTGTGTGCCACACTCTGCTTCTAAGAGTTCTAAGAGTTCTTGGTTAACAGGGGCCATCCCCCTGCCCAGTGGCGGATGGCCAACGAAGAAGCCAGGGGAGGGCTGCAAACGTACCTGCTGAACTGTTGCGCAAGCTGTTCTCCTTTTGCGCGTGTTTCTGGTGGCGGTTCTCATGCTATTCCCCTAAACCTTCCCTTTTATCTGCTAAGTATTCAGTAAAGTGCTAACGTGCCAACATTGTTCAACATCTCAGTTAAGCCGACTTCGCGCCTTTCCGTTCCCTCATCCATTTCACTGTGGATTATGGAAACTGCAAACCCTGTGACTAAGTGTGTGTCGTGCACACGTGCACCCCAACCCCCCAAAAAAGAACTCTGCGTGGTGACGAGTTTCAGTTTGGCAACCACGAGGCCGCTTGTTGAATTTCCGCTTGAAATCGCAGAAGTTGCTTTCATTTGGGCCAAGTGGGCTGCTGCCACTGCCATGCCAACCGTTTTAAACATCTAACCGTCTAACCCATGTCACCAAAGTGATCAAAAATCTCACCCCGCCATGCTATGGATGAATATGGATGAAACAGGAAAGGGAAAGGATGCCTTCTGGGGCCTGGATGTTGAGAAACTGGCACCCGCAAAAGAAGTGACATCAGCCGTTTTGCCCTTGTAGACCTTACATATCATATATCAGCATATATTCATTGACGCCTGCGTGGAAAGGCACTCTTTGTGCAACTGTTTCGGCTATCACACTTGTGACCCAAAACCTCACCTCTAGAATCTTCAGGAGCTTCATAGTATATTATTTTGTTGTCATTTGTTGCCCTGTCAAAGCTCAACTGACGCCTCATTGCCAATGAAAGCACATCGACACGAAGTGCACGCCCCCAGCACAAAAAAACAAGCTGCGAAGATAGCGCAGAGCAATTCCAAATTGTTGCTGACTGTATGCATCAAACTGTCCATGCCAAGAACCATACGAGAAGTTCAGCCCAACGCAGACCCTGCTCCAACTATAGTTGCGTTCGATCTGGAGCCTGAGCGGACAGCGCGCGTCTTGCATTCAGATCGATCAGTTGATCCGAGACACCCGTGTTGTCAATGGCCTCCAACCTAATAGCGATATCGCCTCCAACCCAATGGCGATGGCCTCCACCTAAGAGGCACCTGTGTTGTGCAAGGTGATGTGACGTTGAAAGCCGGCCCATGGCAGCAGGCAGGGCCAGGCAGGTCGTGACACAGCCATTGGGTTCTGCCAGACAGCTGGCAACGGAAGCAACTCAATGCCATCTCCAAGCAAGAGATACACCAGGTGTGCTGGGGGGATATAGCAAACAAACCCAAGTCTTCTTAGTTCCTGGGTATGTTTTATGCTTGTTCCATAAAATGTCCTGTATATAATACTGTATATATATATATATAAACTGGCAAGACGGTATATTCCCGCTTTTTCGCGAGGCATGGGTTGTCATGCCTTGTGACAACACGGGTGGCAAACATTGGTGCTATGTCCAAAAGCAGCCAAAACAAGACACCTGGGTAAGAACCAGGCAACAAAGAGTTTCAGTATGTCTATGTGGTCGGGTGTTTGATCGCGTTGGGGCAGCTGGACACATCAATGCAATAGAGAAGTTCGGTGTGGCTTGTTGTGCTAAGGAAAGAAGAGAAGGAATAACGGTCTACACAAAGAAGCATGAGAAACATGAAGCATTGTTAAACATGTGGTCTACTTTTCTCTCCTGAAACTTGAAACTGAGATGGGCGGTGCAAGACTGAAAGAGTCTGACGCAAGAATCTGTATGTCAGGCAGCATTACTTCTCGAGAGCATTGTTCGACGACGTGTTTCAGCCCAGGGATTGCAGGCCAGAGTTAAAGACGTGAAGAGCTTTGAGTCCAGATGATACAGTGGATGGTAGTATGGCAGTGCTGAACAAACATAATCTGACAAGGAGTTTGTTCTTTAATGTTATGGTTTTTCCTTGCACCTTCAATATTGTTCTTGGTGTCTCGGTATTTCGGTATTGGGATTGAGTGAAACGAGGCTCCATGGAGACATGGCCTACAGCTGCTGTCACGGATGTCTCGCCGAGCTTTGCAACCGAGGCCGGGAGAGAAAACTGTTGTGAAGCAATCGGGATCAACATTGCTTCAAGCATTTTCTCATTGCCAGACTGCCAGACCGGACGCAAACGTAAACAGCATTCTTTGTCTTCTAGTTGCTTCAATTGCCTGGCTTGAAGGAGTGTTTGAAGCAGTGTCAAGCTCTTGGCTATTCTTGAGGCTGGATGCTGCACCGGGGCCATGGCCAACTATGCTTTGGCAAGTGAAGTCAGCCTCAGGCAAGTTTCCTGATTGCTTTGGTTGTTCTTCCTTTCTTTCGTTTGTCCTTCCTTCCTCCAGTCTTCTCTCATCCCATCTCATCCCTCCCTCCTCCGTCCCTTTGCTCACCACTCTTCTCAAGTGGCAGAAGATCAATCATAGCTTGGACCATATTTGTAAAATGGTAAGCGGAGATGGGAACACAATGTCAACCAATGTGTGGGTATCCTCAAGCAAATGGGGATCACGAATCGACAACACAGCGATCAACGGCGCTTTTCCATGTGGCGCAGCCTAGCGTTCGGTACGAACAAGCTCAAGGGCCCTTGGGCCGGAAAGGATCAAAGGGCCGCCATCAACCTTATGCAAACATGACATGTCCGACATGGATGCACACTTTCACACGCCCTCATGGCGCGGCATTTGATCCAGCAGTCTCGACCTTCTAGGTCTGCAGTTCGCGGGTGAATCCATACTTCTCTTCAAGACCTTCATAATCAGGTTTCACCCACTTTACTTTCTCCAAAAACATGGCAAGGTCAATCGCTTTCGTCACCTTGGTTGGAATCTCACCTTTTGTCCGGTATTTGGACAAGATGAAATGGAGGTATTAGCGCATGTCTTCGCCTGCTTTCGAATTGGTGCGAGCTCGGTATACCATCTGATCATAGGTCAGACTTTCCGATTTCACTTTATCCATGCGGCAAATTGTTTTGCCCCACTGCTCAATCGAAACAATTCCATCAGGAAGTGGAATTTTGGGATCCGTGGCACTTGTGGTGGCTACAGGAAACAATTCCTTCTTCCCCCCAACATACCCTTCTTGGGTCTTTTCCAACTCGAAGGCCAAGGGGCCGGCAGTAGATCCGGATGGCTCATTCGTGGCGACGAATTCCCACGGGTTGGTGGCATTGGAGGCTTCGTCAAAGTCAAGGCGACGCTTGGAGGCATCCGACATAGCGGCACCTGCAGCTTCCACCATATACGAGGCCGCCACCACACTGGACTTGAGATCTGGTCGGATCTGTGTCCACTCTGACACTCGCTTCAGGACTTGGGCCGTCTGGCCAAAACGAGCTGCTCGGTGGAGTAGTCCGGTGCATACCCCGATCTCTTCCTCCGACAACGGTGACCGGAGATGATGAGTTTCATCGTTGGTCTTCGGAGCTTTTGCCATGTCTCTACGGACTGCGGGTCCTAGACGGGAGACACGTTCAAGATCACTCAGTTCCTTGGAACAAAAAATGCTCTGTGCAAAAACATCGGTTTAACCGAAACGGCACGAGAAAAAACGGTGACACGACAACTCCTCAGTTGGCATGTTACATAATAGGCTGCTATGGAATTTCAAGGATTAGATATCCCTTCCTATCTAACGAATTCATTTAAGCTTCCCCAAGGCATCATGGTTCCACTTCACATATACATGCATGGGCCTGGTGCTCATTCTACATTAGTATTTCCTGCAATCTTAGCTTTGGCTTTTTCCTTACGTCCTGACTCTACTCCTACACGGATTGTATATTTCCATGTGTCAACGAGCTTGTAGAAAGGTGCGGTGTCTGCTTTCAATTTGGTCAGCACGTCTGCACACATGAAGAGGTTGCTAGTCCAGAAGACAACTATATTTTGCAAGGCCATACTTTCTTTTGCGATTGCGTAATCGATTTGTAGACGTTTTTCAACACTGATGGTTGGAGAGCTACAAGATTTAGTTACTGCATCGAAGAAACCCTGCTATCCACAACGAGGCAAGCTGTCTTTTCAGGGACCTGTTCTCTGAATGCTTTCGGAGACATGTCTTCCAAGATCTCAGCGAGCAAGGACTGGATCCACTCTATCGAATCGAGTCCGTTCTGTCCAGCCATGGTCTCGGCTGCTACAGATGACCTGACCACTCGTCTCAGTTTCTTGGAGCTCCAATCGATCAACCAAACCGGCGCTTCTTTATTTTCTAAGATCTGTTTGGTTGTGAAGCACAGTATATACCCACCTTGGCTTTCGCCATTAGCTCTTGTACACCATCCAGCGTCAGAGATGCACAGGATGTGCCACTGACTTACTGGGACATGGCTGGGGAACCTCAAACAAATCTTCCTTTGTTTCATTTCCCTGATTGCCTTGTTGTACAAGTGAACATGTTCAACGCTACCCTTATCCTGTACTCCTTGAAGATACGACGCCAAGAAAGCTTGTTCGGGTCTAGTCGAATTCGACACCCATGCTAGCTGTCCTGCGCAGGTTCGGAGGATGGACGGATCAGTGAGGGGTGTTGAGGCATTTCCCAAGGTCTTGGTTTCAACATGTTCCAGATTTTCGATGTAGTTTTCTTGTCCTACTTCAATCTCCATGGTGTTGGGATGTTGTCGAATCTCTACTCCTGTATATCTTATGGTGAAAGTACGGTAATCTCCAAATGGCAATTTCTTTCGAAGGCGGTCTAGAGCTTCATCCATCTCTTTGCAACCTCCCCCCAATAGGTCATCTACATGAACACCACAAATGCCTTTTAAGGAATTATCGGACTTACTTCTCAACAAGAACAGGCATGGATCCAACTGGCTTTGGACCAGTCCTGCTTCCTTGAGCTCTCGGGTCAACCTAGCAAACCATGCTCGTGGTGCTTCTGCCAGGCCGTACGCGGCTTTCTCAAGACGAAACAGGTCGTCCGCACTGAGGTTCATCCATTCTTTGATCTCAGCTGGAGGCCTAAAGTAAATGTTTCTGCAAGATTCATCACCTGACAAAAACGCTGTTTTTATGTCGGCTCCCCAAAGTTTCCACTTAGATGCTGCACAAATGGATAAGACCAGGTGCTTAGTCTCCTTACGAAGGGTTGGACTGTCTGTTGCGACCTTTCCGAGATCAGGATCCTGCCACCCCACCAAAACCAGTCTGGCCTTGGGGGTTTTGACAGTGATGTCAGGATCCGATGACTTTTTCCACACTAAGACCCACCGTGCTCTAATGATTCTTTCAGTTGGAATCCCTCTAGCTTTACAAAGTGAAGTCACTTTATTGTCAACCCAACTTTGCCATTCTTTTTGCATTGCCTTAAGAAACAGTTTCTTATCTTCCGGGTTGAGTTTGCGAAATTGGACTTCAACTCGACGCTGCTTCGCCTTCGACGGCGGTGCGGCCTGAAAGCACTCTTCAAAAAGATTCCACAGACACAGAGGATTCTCGGTGATGTCTTCGGGATGGATATCAAAGGAAAGTTCGAACACTTGTTCTACCTTCGCTAATCTGGCTGTTACCGCTAGCTCATCTTCACCGGCTTCTGGAACGGGAACATCTATACCAGATTCTTCGACGTGGGATGGTCGTGAGTCTACTTCGGGCATTACTTCATCGGTATTTTCGGGATTATTGGATTCAGGCGGATTAGCCTCTGGCTCTGCATCCAGATGTCCGGGAACAACACCTGGGTCAGGCATGAGCTCATCCAGCTCGTGGTACATTTGAGTGCCTGACAGAGATCCCTCTTCTTCGAGAGGAACTGGTGGTTCGGTCGGTGCATAACTTGGGGATGAATCGATGTCAACAACCCTTCTCCTCTTATCGGCTGGCTCATTTGGATCTCGCGGGATCTCATCAGGAGCAGCCGAAGCGAATGGCTGCTGGCTCAACTCATGCTCATGGCGATTGCCGAGAGGGGGAATCTCACCTCTTGACCTCTTTTGCCAGTATTCCGGGGTCCGCCCTCTGAATCAGGCTTGTCATCCAAGGTTTCGGGATGGGGTTCAGCTTCTACATCTTCCTTAAGCGAGCTACGCCCTCCGACAGTGATTTGCCTGCAGTTTCCGTCTCAGGAGCTAATTGGCCTAACGCGAGTTGCCTCGCGAGAGCGCGAAATTCAGCTTCGTCTTCGGCCATGGGTCTCAAGCCTTCAGGTCGACATCTATAGAGGTACCCATTATAGCTAGTCCAAACAAGACGTGGTGTGGGACTATTGGAAGAACTCTCTACTCCAATGACTTTGGCAGGCCCCAACCACTTACCATGCCTGGTGCTGAGCTGACCCCTTCCTGCGGCACGGAACATATAGACAAGTTGACCCTGAGTATACGGACCTCGCATGGGGCAATGTCGATAGGCTACAGCTCTTCTCCAAGTATCTTTTGCATGTTCTTCATGAAAGGCTTTCGCGGCTTCTTCTCGAAGGCGAGTCTTGGATGCAAAGGACGGATCTGACAGGATCTGGCTCTGGGCAGCAAAATTTCTTTGCTCATCCAGATCAGCAAGCATTCCCACATGGCGTGAGTCCCTTCCCAAGAACCACTGTGCTGGACTGAAACCATGTTTTCGAAGTTGTTCATTACGAGTAGTCGCACACATTTCAATGACTTCCTCCGGTGGACGGTCAGTGCCAGGCCAACAACGATTGGCCATGTTCCGTAGAATACGATTGGCAATTTCGACCTGACCTAGTTGATAGTGTGCTTCTGCTGCCGCATGCAACAACTGAATGCCATGATGTGTCAAGTACTCGTGGAAATCTTGGGATAGGTTAGTCTTGGCAGGGTCCATGAATATTATCTTAGGAGTGCCATAGGGACGTGACCACACCCTGTGAAATGCTCGAGACAGCTGATTGGGACCGCGTTCAACGATGATTTGTTGAGCGAACCCTGAGGCCATATCAACACATGTCAAAACATTGAACTTTATTTCGGTCATCTTCCCATTACGTCCCTCCCTTTTGAGTTCTACTTGAACAAAATCAATACCCACTATGTCATTCGGGTTCTCTGCATGGGGAATTGCACTTTTACGATATGACGGAGGTGGTTTGAGTTCGTTACAGATGGGACACTGGAAGCTCCGAATGCAGTCCACTATATCCTTATTGGCTTGGCAACGATTGGAAGTCTCAACATTTGTTCAACAGATGCATGGCCTGTGTTTACACGCAATTTGCGAACCAATGCGGACACTCGCAGCTGTCTTGGATTCAAACTCTGCCTTGGTGATTGACGATCACCTTCAGCGAATGGTCTTTCAAGTCTCTCTTCCGGTTCTTCTTCTAATAGTTCTTCTTCTTGGTCTTCTTCCTGAGCTAGGATTTCAACTGCGTCAGGACCGGATTGACTCCTTGGAGACATTTGGCAAGACCATCGGCCATGACGCGTGCAAATTTATTAGGATATGTCTCGGCCCAGGCTGTCAAGTTCCTACCTTTATAGTTTCCTTCGAGATGATCATGTCCATGTTTATGGTCACATCGGTATGGAACTAAGTGTTGCATCAAAGACTCCTGGGTGCTCACTATCCGAGTGGGCTTGAGGACCGGGACATTGGATTTTGGACTTCGGAGTCCAAGTGCGCACTGGTCAATTCGGATCGACCATGCTGGTCCAAGAACTAACTCCTGCCACATATCGGACGAATATGGATTTTCGGCGTGAGCTTGGCCTCCAAGCATGACTTGAAGATGCCATGTTTCCGAAACACATTGCAAGTGTCGTTTGGCTTGATGTCTCTTTTTCATGATTTCCTGTTTTCGAGATTCCGAGAGGGCCATATTAAACCTCGACCACGGACCCCAACATTTACAAGGGGGAGCAAACCAAACATGAGCGGGTTTCGTCAAGGCAACGAGGAACAGGAGATTTCGTCTATCCTTCAATCTTCCAAGGTCGTGACCAAAATCTATCCCGATCTGGATTGCTGTTTGATTTGTTCGTTTCTGGAACTGTGAAGACAAGGGGGCCTTACCTGTAAACACTTCAACAAGTCCTACGGTGGAATCTAACTTCCACGCCTGCTTGCCCAACCAGTGGCGAAGTTCGGCAATCACTGCATGACTATCGGTCTGCAATCGTGACAGGGCCATTCGAACGCCGAGCCTGCGAGCTGAAGTGATGGTACCTTTCAGTCTTTCCTGGAGTTCTTTGGGGACATCCTGCAATTCAAGATCTACCCAATCTACTTCTTCATATAGGGTTTCCAGGGTGTCTGATTGTTCAGGGTACTTCCAATCACCATCTATATCATCACTACAACAAGAATCACACTGGCGTGTTGATGCTGCTGGCTCAAGGAGTTCGACGTGCTCTGACTCACTCTGGGAACTCTCAGGATCAGAATTCGCTCGGATGGAACGAAAAGCAAAGATCGCTACCTGCATCGGATTCACAGGCCGACGGGCCTTTCCGGCTGCGCGAACTGCCCACCCGGACGTGGTCATATTTCCACTTTTATCCATTGAGATTACATTTATAGTAGGGATCCTTTCTAATCTAGGTTTGTATGCTACAAAGGCATGCACCACCTGTTTTTCATCACATAAGAACAACTGGGACAACTCGGCATGAAACAAAGTGCAATCTACGTTTCCTCCTTTGGTATGTTTGCAAACTGTTTGGAACGCCCTCCTAAAATCACACGGTGTGGGTTCCATTTTTGGCACACTAGAAACATTACTTTTGGTCATGTCCTGTCCTCTGAGGTCTTGGTGGTGCTCGAGATCTGCGGAAATGGACTCGCGGTCCATCGCTTGGGCTTCATGCGGATTGGGCTCATATTCATTCGAGTCGTTGAGGACGGTCTCCCATTCGGCGACCTGTGGCACCAGGGACAGCAGCAAATGGCCGTTGGCGGCCTGCTTGAGAGGCACATCTTGCATGCCACGCTTGGAACTCGTGATGGTCATACGACCCAAATCCAAGGTGGCTTGCATGCCTTCCAACACTCTTCGCGACAGCAGGAATGGAGCACTGCCAGGAACAACGTATGTTGTGATGTTCCCTCTCAATGATCCCAACTGCACTGTCCACTTCAACCCAACAGCTGTAGTTTCACTTTGACCATTAAAGCCACGAAGCTCAACTGTCGGCATTGTAACACGAACGGCTGGTGGAAAATTGCACTGTCGAAATACCTGCTCATAACGTTGTGCTGTTTCTTCACAAACAACTGATGTAGTACAACCAATGTCAATGATTGCAAAACCCGACGGGATCGAAGCCAAAAGGATTTCAAGCTCGACTGGAGTTGCATCGGTCAGGGCATAGCTGAACTCGGTCAATGTCCTGTCAACCAACTCAACTGTTTCCGTCAGATTGGCGTCCTCACGCCTCGGTGGTTTCTTCTTTTGATCCTTTTGTGGTTTCTTGTCAAAGGATCTTTTCTCATAGCGTGGTGTCTTTGACGAAGAGGATTGGCTTCCCGTTGGCATTTGGGAAGGTCCTCCTTCGGTGGGTGGAATGGCCACCACCGGCATGTATGGTTGGCGTGCACGTTTGATCTCTCTCACTTTCTTTTTGGATTCCTTGTAGGTGCGGAACTGCTTCTTGAACTCTTTCTTTGCTTTCTTTTGGATTTCGAAGATCTCCTGCAGTTCTTCCTCCGAACCTGTACCAAGAGAACCTTCAGCACCTTCAACTTGGTAGGCTTCTTCGCCTGACCCAGAATCAGAAAGTGGGTCGACCGAGGTGGAAGATTCTTCAACAGCCTGTTCAACAGCGAATGTTTCTCGACGAGGCCTGACTTGTCGACGATCATCATGGCGTGACCGCCGATCGTCCATCTTCTCCTCATAGTCACTGGCACGCAAAATCTTCTCAATGTCAACGAATCGACTGGAGCCGCCTGTGGAACGAATGATGTGACTGCGTTGCTCACGCGACAACCCAAACTTCCTCATAAACAAATGTCCCAAAACTGACTGTGGAAATATCGGCTTGGGCTTTGTGTGTGACAACTCCAACGTTCCAAGAAGACGTTGCATTCGAAGATGATCCTTTCGCTGATCTCCTTTCAGTGTCCCAGTGGACTTCTGTTGGGAAGCCTTTGAACTCGACTTCGCACTTCGAACCGATGGTGTGGATCCCGACCAGCGATGTGGATCGAGTGGAGGATCAAAAGGACCTGGTGGAGGAGCAGCTTTGGCCTTCGGGTCAGGCCGAGGCTCAGCTTCTTGTTCGGTTTCGTCTGTCTGTTCACGAGGGTCGTCCGGACGGTCAGCATGTTGTTCATCCGATTCTTCCAGACTGCTTGACTCTTCTTTGTTCTCTTCAGCTTGACGATCGGTCTCCGGCCGCTTTCGGGACAACTGTCGTTCTTGTGAAATCAGTGTCTCCAGCCGGTTGAGGGATGTCTTGAAACGTGAGGTGAATGCGGTTGCTCCCTCACCGTTTCTTCGCTTCAGAGAAAACAAAAACTCATCAATCGCCTCGTGGAGCTCAGTCTCTGGCAAAAACCTATAGTGATTGTCCAATGTCTTGACAACTTGTAACCAACCATCAGTGCTTCTGATGTCAGCCACCGACAAATGTTCTGTCGCTTTCCAAGCTTCACCTGAAAGTTTGCTCAAGACACGTGGACCTGCAAGGTGTTGTTGTTTGTCTTCTAAAGACGCCGCACCAAGAATCAGCTTTCGCCGGAACTCTCTGTAACCACTCGGCTTTCCGTCAAAGGAGAGGTCTCGCAACGAATCTTTGTAATCCATTGCCATGAATGCTAAACAACGATCAATGTTCAACCAACAACAACACAAATCAATGTAAACTCTGCACCACTGCTCAATGCTCAATGTACCTGGATGGTACGAGTGACTCTGTGGCTTTCGCCACACCCGGGAAAGGCCGGGACCTCACAAGGCACTGCTGGAGCGAACACGCCCCGCTACCATGTAAAATGGTAAGCGGAGATGGGAACACAATGTCAACCAATGTGTGGGTATCCTCAAGCAAATGGGGATCACGAATCGACAACACAGCGATCAACGGCGCTTTTCCATGTGGCGCAGCCTAGCGTTCGGTACGAACAAGCTCAAGGGCCCTTGGGCCGGAAAGGATCAAAGGGCCGCCATCAACCTTATGCAAACATGACATGTCCGACATGGATGCACACTTTCACAATATTAAACGCCTTGCAACTTGCCCCAGCCTGCAAAACCCTTGGTATTTGTGAGGAGAAAAAATCCACTTGTGTAGCTAAGCTAGAGTGGCAACCAAGCAGAATCGCTGGCAGTTGGAATTGCTTTTCGTTTTGCTTAGTTTTGGCCAGTGTTGACCCAAAACATCGTGCATTGATCAGAGGCAGGTTCTCAAAGAGCGTGTAGTGTAGAATAGGTGTAAAACGACGTCTCCCTTCCAACATTCTCAACGCGTTTCCGTCGACGCTCAAGAGAAGATGGGCTGCAGAACGTGTCATCTCCAAGTCAGTAAGGTGTGCAACTAAGGCTGCCAATGACTAAGTTCTACATTGCCTTGGAACTAGTCCTTGCACTTTGGCAAGGGGTGCTGTCATGTATTCCAAACCATGTTGCAAAGTCTTTGTAGATGTGGCATCAGCTCGTTCATTGACCTCTCACGTCGCAAGCGGAGGTTTTGCAGATACAGCTGGGATCAATGCATCGATCACAGCAGCTGGCCGAGCAGTTTGCTGGGAAGTTGCGTTGGGTTTGCTCCTGCACATGGAGGCGGTACCGGACAATGCATATTGTTAGCGCATAAAAATAAGTAGGTACGGTATTGGGTTGGGTGATGTTGTGTGTACAGAACATTGAAGCATTTTTTGCTTTACACCTTTGGCCCGTCTCAAGTTGTTCCATGTTGCTCCTGCATATTCGAGAGTTTCGTCCTGCTGTGCGAGACCGGATTGAATCCAGAATAAACAAAATGAGCCTGATTGTGGTTCAAGTATGCCTGTAGATGATCTAAGACGCTCAGAGGGCATTGCCAACACGGGCGTGATATGACCAAGCAGAGGATATAGGCAAATGGTATATACAAGCAATATGACACAATGCATTATCATAACTAAGCCCTGTCCTGTAGCATTGCTGTAGTAAGAAGAAATTGCACCTTCTCTTGCGGTTTCCTGTGCATGTAGCAAAATTACTTACATTGAGCAACTGTGAGCTGAAAACGCCTGTTCAGTTTAGACAGAAGATGGAGGACCTCCTGAGTGATGGTCGGCTTTTGAAAAAAGTGGGCATTGCAGGCAAACGTGGCGAGCGGTTGAAGAAAGGTGACCGGGCCAAGGTTCACTACGAGACTCGAATTTTCACCACAAGTCAGGCTGCCGAAGGTCTTCGCAATGTGTTGGAGAAGTCGACTGATTCCGATGTCCCAGACTTCAGCTTCGACTTCGAACCAAAGACTCCATCAAGTCCGCTGTCTTCCAGTTGCAGCAACTGGACTGCTTTGATTGATTCTTCCGGACCTGAGCTCTTTGAATTCACTTTGGGTTTGGATGAAGTCTTGGAGGCATGGGACCTTGGTGTTGCGAGCATGGAGTTCGGAGAACGGAGTCTGTTCATAGCGCATCACAGCTTAGCTTATGGCGAGGAAGGTGCTGGGGACATCCCGTCATGTGCGACCTTGCTCTTTATTATCCACTTATTTCCTATCGAGTTCCCACTGTCAGCCAAATTCAAAGGACGTCCATGTACCGAAGACCCAACAAAGATGACATGTTGTTTGCTTAACTCAGTTCCATCATTTTTGGTCAAGATGGTTCCATTGGTTTTCTTGTGCTCTTACCTCGTATTTCTTAGCTAGCAAGCTTCAAGCAGTGAACTTCTATATAGTATCAGTTGCTACTAGGGGCTCCTGGCCTTACTACTAGGAGCAAGGACGCTACTAGGGGCTCCTGGCCTTTCTACTAGGAGCAAGGACGCTACTACGGGCTCTTGGCCTTACTACTAGGAGCAAGGACGCTACTAGGGGCTCCTGGCCTTACCACCAGGAGCAAGGACGCTACTACCTGGCCTTACTACTAGGAGCAAGGACGCTACTACAGGCTCCTGGCCTTACTACTAGGAGCAAAAACGCTACTACGAGCTCCTGGCCCGGCTACTAGGAGCAAGGACGCTACTAGGGGCTCCTGGCCTTACTACTAGGAGCAAGGACGCTACTACCTGGCCTTACTACTAGGAGCAAGGACGCTACTAGGGGCTCCTGGCCCGACTACTAGGAGCAAGGACGCTACTAGGGCCTCCTGGCCTTACCACTAGGAGCGAGGACGCTACTAGGGGCTCCTGGCCTTACTACTAGGAGCAAGGACGC